CCATTTAATTCAGAGGGATTTAGCAATGCTTTGAGATAAATCATATGCTAAGGATATAGTTCAATGTTTGTCAGCCAGTGGTTTGTATTAGTGATAGGTTATAGTGTACAGGATAGGAGTTGATTTGCTTTCCCCAGTTGAGAAAGAAGAGAGCAGGGAAAGTGGTCAGAGCTGACACAGTATGTAATAGAAGCAAAAGTAAATCTTGTTCTCTGGGAAGCTCAAAGATTTGAATTCAATAACACAACTAAAGTAAAAAGATGTGTTGCATTAATTAGCTCTCTATTATTTGGACATCTTTTTTTTTAGTTTGGATTTAGACTGTTCAAAAATAATTGTGGGTATCTTCCAGTTTAGTTTTTAATCACAAACTAAAATCAAATCTCTAAAGCCAGGTCACAGCAAGCAAGCACACTATTCAGTTCAGCTAGCAAAAGTATAGCTTGATATTTATTTATTAAACATCAGTAAACATCAAAACCATTGACTGACAAAACAGAACAAAAGGCAGGCATAGCAGGGACAGAAAGACGAACAACAGGCAGGAGTGGGGAACGGCAAAGGACTTAATATCAATCATTATCTATTATCTAGTATTATCTATATTTCTATTAAAAAACACAAAATTTTCCAGGGCTTCTAGAAACAATACTGCGTAATAAGCATGGAGAGTCTCAAAGGAAAAGGCTTTGTTCATTTCAGCCATAGCCTTTTTATGTATATAGAAGCAGAATAAAGTAAGACACCGATTGAAACCTCCTTTATTCTGCACTATGAAGAAAAGAATTTGGTTGGATGAAGATGATGTATCCAACAAGAGGAACACTGTTCCCATTTCAGTGGTCTTCAAATTACCATAACTGACAAATAATAATATACAGAAGTCCTGAAAGCATATATGTCCTCACAGTAATTAATATGTGTGTGTTTGTGTGTGTGTGTGTGTGTGCGTGTGTTGTATTTGTGCTGACAAATAAATAAAGAGAGACTAGTATAGATCTATTTCAAGCTATTTAGCTCTCATCAGCTAGCCATACCCTTATTGAGATTCAAACCTCATCTAGCTGATGAAAGCTAAATAACTTGAAATAGATCTATACTAGTCTCCCTTTATTTATTTATCAGCACAAATACAACA